TWWKATGGAGGCAASTAAGAAGCAAAATTTGCATCGACTTTGGCACATTTAAAACTCGACGTCTGGACATACTATCCGATTCAAATCATTGAAACATTAGACATTTGACGCAAAAATGGTTCAAAAGTCAGAGTGGACCTCTGCAGTGAACTCAAGAGCGCCACAAAAAATGCAGTAACTTCCAGGCTAAGTAGCTGTTACGATAAAGGGCATAAAGTGATTGAAATTTTACACCTTCCGCAAAAGCGGTTGTCATGCATCGTCAAGAGTAAGTTATTCCGGCGAGCATGTAAATGTTCAAGGTCGTTCGGGTCTTGGAACGAATGAACCGCTCCGTTAACAAATATCCTTTTCAGTGCGATAGCACTAGTATCTTGCAAAGGATTTATCGATTTATTTTCTTAATACACCCAAAGCTATCCGATGATTAGCTCAGCTCTTCCGGTCCGGGCTTTTTTGGTCAAGCCATTAAAAAACGAGAACGAATAAAAGTGGTCATGATCATAAATCCAAGCATGTGCAATCCAACTGAGATAATTTTTCACATGATTAAAGAATAATGACAAAAACATTCACAAATTCAGCAAATGATTCATTATTGGATCACGTGTCAAAGACGTTAGAGCAATGGTGAAGTCGTGGGATACTGGGCCACTCACGGTAGGGCGGCCTAAAATAGGCGAGTCTGTCTATAGTTATTTTTTGTTGGTCTTGTTGGAGGTTAGGTTTAGCTAGATAGGCACATTTCTTTACGCTATAAAGGATTAGTTCAGCTAATAAAGGACTAGTTAATGTAATTTTGTAAAAAAAGGGTTAAGTATTTATAACCAAGTCGACCAAGCGGCGTCGTACTTTTAAGGAAAGTGATATACCGGCATGCATGACGTCTGATTTACCTCCAGCCAAGCCATGACCGATGACCAGAGCTAGCATACCGAAAATCATGTTATCAAGTATTTTATATAGGTCTAAAGGGCTGATCTAAATTTGTCATCCYAACAGTTTTAATTACTATGTTAGTAATTTTAATCTACTGTTTTCGCTCTCATCTCTGCAACTTTTAGTAAAACCAAAATCAAACTTTTATCCCTGAGTAAACGTTGTAAAATAAAATATATTGAGTTACAGTGCTTTTTATAATGACTGACTCAAGTCTAGCGCCTTGTGATGTATAGCGCATTAACGACAGGCTTGTTTGTTTCCGGGATGTTTTTCTACATGATTAGGGTAATTCCGGACGCAGTAACCAATTTTAAGGACATTCAAAGGTTGAACAGTTACATAGACTGCTGACTGAATTTGCCAGTGTTCACTGATACGTTTGAATTATTTTTTCAGTGTATCAGTGTTTTCAAAAATATCTCTGATATTTTAAAGTTTTATTACATAAAATACATGTGTGATTAAAAGACGCATTTCAGTGRGTCGGATCTCACTGTGYTGATGTCAATGCTAATGAGATGATAATCCYAGAAACCTTCGCCCCTTAACCGGACAATAMTCYCATACAYTGCATGGGTCTTACTGAAGCTCCCTGTAGTTAAAGAGACTAGGAGATTTACCAGACTTGATTAATGTCTTGTTTTACTTTTCATTCGTCGACATTTTCTGCTCATTCTATAAGAGTTTTGTATTCAATATTCATTGTAAATGCTTATAGAACAAGTAACTGCACTGTTCTGGTTGCATTATTCCTGTTTCTTTCGATTTTCTTTCGTGTTCGTCTAATGCTGACTTCCATTTGAAATAGTCCGTTTCACAAAGATCTAAGACGACAACCATAGCCTAACACTATCAAGCAAGCGAGACCAGAAACCAATTTTTACAATTAGCTTAGTGCCACGCGATGATGGTTTAAAAAAAGCTTCGGCTCACTCGATGAAAATAGCTTTGAATCTTCGCACGTRGTTCGGCTACGCCCCATTTACCAAAAAGGGAACACTTTCTCAGTCACAGTTCTGCTCATCCCTGATGACACAGGTAGCCCGGTAAGCTTCAGGAGCACTTACTTGCGTTGCATAGTTCTTGACGTTCTTGCGTTCTATYACGTTGCGATAAGGTTTGGCATTCCATTGATATATCAATGTTCTATTGGCGAAAAAGATTTTTTAGGGATTTTTTTTGTAAAACATCATTTTAAACAAATAATAATCAGGGGTAATTGCATCGATTACATCGATTTTGAAGGGAGGRATGGGAGGGAAAGGTTTGAGTGGTACATCTGACTTGTGATTTATTTTCAGGCTGTCATTTCATTAAATCGCTCTGATTAATATTTACTCCAACAATAATTAATTATAATGATAATGAATGATGAAGGTATTATTATCTAAAAACTCTTAATATCGAGAAAAACTATTAGTACCTTCTGAGGAACCAGCCAGCAAATGAACAGTAATATTATCCAATCGATGATAGCAAGCACACAGAATACTTTTCCTGCCACACTTCCACACTTGTACAATCTAAGATACCATGAGATAATCTYATCATTTCTAACTGGTAACTTCTTGCATCCTACATGATTAGAGGGATCCTATCTTTCCCGCCAAAAGCAAAATGAGAAGTGCGAGAGGCTAACTTACTTCTCAGGAAAGGAAACGATTTCCTTCTCATATATTGTGCGTATATTTTTGTAATCCTATACTTTTTATCATAATAATACTCCCTGGATGTACTACTGTGTTAGTTGACCACTTGGAACTCAGTGCCAATAAAAAGGTTATGGTCAAATAGTGGTTTCGTTATTTTTACGTTCCTAACACGGTGCCTCCACCTTTACGTTCTCATTCGTTGAGAGGAAAACAATGTCTGGCAATCGAACTCAATTGAACCAAAGTGCGATTACCTAGACACTAGACCTTCACGGCTCTCACAGACAATGTAGCCATGAACAGCTATTGTATTAAAAGTGCATCAAACTTTTTTTGATATGGTAGTGTTACCTTTGAAGTCTGTCACTGAATGGAACACTTGGTAGCTTAGATACCGTATCATAAACCTGTCAATCAAGCGTTCTTAATGTGAGTCTCGTTATTATCTGTGCAAAGCCGTTTATAACTTCTTCACTTCACTGACCCATCTAGAAATGTCGGAGAAAGATTCTTCCACAGTGGCAAGGGAGAAAGTGAGGCTACATTTGCGGTGGAGTTGATTACAGTCGAACCTCTATTATGCGGTTACTTTGAGGAAAGAACAGTTGACCGCTTTATAGAGGTTGACGACTGAACAGATGGCMCGTTTATAGGTTCGTTGGTTGGAGAAGCAATTTTTGTGGAATTCGTTCTGATCGCTTAATGGAGGGTGGCAGATGAATAGAGGGCCGCTTACAATAGAACTGTACCTTCTCTGTTCTCTTGCAGACATTCATCCAGGTGTACATWGATTTGACTTTTTCATGAGCACAATATGAATCCATAACATCACCTCTTCTRATGCAACTGACGGCCTCATCTAATGCTTGCTCAAGAGCTGAAATATGAAAACAGAATCTCAATAACAAGCCATTTAAAGAATATAATAAATGAGAGATCAAAAGAAAGAAACCTATACTTGATTGATTGAATGAATGAAAGAAAGAACGACACGAATGCATGGATGAACGAATGAAAGAAAACTCTGTAATGAATGGATGATTAAATTGATGTAGGATGACATGATATTTCTTTGTCACCCCACCTTTAACACTGGGTTCAGCTAATCGAATCATATCTGATGGTAGTACTTCAGGAACACCACCAACACTTGTACTCACWACTAACAGCCTAAAATTAAATAAATAACAATTTACTACACATTTAACTTGCAATAATTAACCTATACCTTGACCTAACTGTGATAAGAAACTACAATCAAAGTATTGTCTGYTTTAGCATATAGTCTCCTCACAGTCATGTGACACGCAACTTGTGTGGAGAGGTTGCACGAGGCGTGACCAAAAGTAAACACAGCTGCAAGAAAGACTAGTTCTTGAGCACTGCGGAATAATTCAATCAAAAAGAAACACACGGTATTCTAACCTACCCACAACTAGCAGCCTCTACTATTGCCATACAGAATGCCTCTGTCAACGATGTATTTACAAATATATGACCTTGAACCAGAACCTAATGAACAAACATTCAATCCATAAATTTATTCATTGATAATATTATCATAAAACTGAGGAAATGGTGTTGGTAAGTTATAGTCTTACATCTCGCACTTTCTCATGTTCCAATGTCCCCAGGAGTTCAACCCTGTTGTGAAGTTGATGCTGCTCTCTGATTTCTTCTAGTAAAACTCTTTTTGGTCCATCGCCACCTTAGAAATAACATTGTAACACTTTAAAATCTAAACAATTGGAAAAGGTGAGGCACTTTCGCAGCCAATATTATTGAAGATTATTTGTTAAATTTTTTTCATCTTACAAAGCTGCAATATTTCTATTAATTAAAAATATTTATTACAAACAATAAAATAATCACCTATTAAAAAGTGAACATCAGGATGTTTTTGGCATATTAATGGTATAATTCCAGCAAGCAGGTCCATTCCTTTTCTGTAAACTAGTCGACTAACGACTACAATTACAACTGAAAGTATATTTACAATAAATTATAGTTAAGAGATCTTTACATAGCATAATGGACTCAGACATATTAACTGAGTGGTATTGTCATCCATTTCTCTGTGCTTTCATAACTGATCCAACAATCATACAAGTATAAATTACTTTGAAGATGCAGTCAGAGTTCATTATTAAACATTATTAAATAATTGTGTCTGAGTTGTTTTTACAATGGTGTTACACTGAAAAAAAACCTCTGTTATAAATCTTAAAAAACAAAATAGTTGTCAGAGACAACCATATGATGTTTAATCATGATTAAAATTATTAGTAATAATTCTGATTGACCTACTCTGATTCTGTCTTCTTCTTGAAGGATCTGGYGTAAATAGAGAACAATTCACTGCATTTGGAATCACTGAGACGATATAGGGATTCATACAAGACTGAGTTGAAGCACGAAGAACTGTGTTTTCTTTACTGTTGGATATAACAACAAAGCTAATTTTAATTTTTATTAGCTAAGAAAAAACAGTATCATGTAATAAACTAATCATACCTAGTATGTGACACACAAACAACATGATCGACATCTGCCAAAGTAAACTGTAAAAACTTGTTGGTGATAATGGAACTTGCATCAGCAAAACCAAACAGTGAATGGTCAGTAAAAACACACTTTATTCCCATGGTACGAGCATGAAGCAAGGCATTGTGACACAGGGTAGAAAAWGCCTGCAACAAACAATAACATTTCACAATATATACTCAATTATATATCATATTAGTTCAGTCCCAGACCGTTTTTTTGGTCCACTCGGTAAAACGGCTGCTTGCAGAAAAGGGTCTAGCAGCTATTTAACAGAGTGGGCCGAAAAAGGTCTGGGACTGGACTAATATTATATATGTCAACTATAAAAGGTTTTAGTTCCTTTAGTTCCTTTATTTCTGACTTTCCATGTTCCATGGAATTTGTGTGGCAGTTTGAAAAGATCCTATCATGTCTGGGCTACCTCAAATATAATATCTAGATGTCAAACTATGTATTATTGCTATACTTACAGAATGACCATGAACCAGAGTTATCTTCTCTCTAATAAAGATATATCTTAGAATTGGTAAATCTGTATAGAGTGTAGGAAGCACTGACTGATTGTGAAAAACACCCATTGGTATATAATAAACCTAAAAAAAAACATTAAAAGTTAGCCAAGCTAGAAAGCAAGTAAGCTAAAGGATACAATATTTTTTGACTATTGGGATTACCTTTAAGAAATTAGTTAAATATCGTATTCCTTTCCTTCCACCATAGGAATGAGTCACAACAATAACCTGAAAGAAAAATGAGTGAAAAAGACGATAAAAAATAAAAGGTACATAACATGTAAGCTCGAAGCAAACTCACCTTATGTTTGCGTTTTATCAGACACTGAGAGAGCTGGTAGATATGACTCTCTACACCACCCATGTTAGGATAGAAAAAATCTGAAACCATGCTGAAATTACAAACCACAATTATAATGAATTTACAGCAAAAACACTACACAAGCTAAAGAATTCAGTGGTTTCTTACCATATTCTATGTTTTCCGTCCGCCATGTTGTTTTKATTTTTTATAGCGCTGACCACTATGTACGACTGCTCAGAATCTTGTGAAAAAATATAGAATATTTCTGGGTTTTTGCGAAACATCTTTTGCAAAACGCGAACATTGACGTAATAAGAATATAAGCAATGTATATTTTACATTTCTTGTTATTTTTAGTTATTTATTTTGAATATAAAAAAATCCAATATTGATTTTGGGCTTCCTGTGGCGTCTGCTGGCCAGCGGTTCATTTTCGTTGAGTACCAACCAAAATGGCTTCCAGTTCCGGTTCTAATGCAACARCCAAGAGCATATCGTGTATTTTAAGCTTAGTTTTTATATTTTCCCTGTCTTCTTTGTATTTATACGTACTTTCAAGATGGCTTCCTGATCCAAATTATAATGAACGATYGTCAGAGAATATTACCAATCAAACAAGGTTTGTACATGTAGGACTTTGTACCACGTCGTATTTTGCACGSTGGCATGCTAGGTTTTGTGTCTAATATATATAAAAAAATTCCTGTATTGCTGCAGCTCTAACAGATTGGTTAATCGATAATTTTGCTACAGAATAAAAAACAGGCTCTGATGTAAATCAATGTAAGCTTATATAATCTAATATAAGTTTACATGTTACTGACTTACYACAAGTCTCTTTTCATTGTCTTGTTCTA